CCCCCGTTCATGCTCTGTCTCTCTCTGTCCCAAAAATAAATAAAAACGTTGGAAAAAAAAATTTTTTTTAAAAAGATTAGCTGGGGAGAATCAAGAAGTATCACGTGCAGACAAGGTCGCAGGGCAGGAAGAGGCTCCTGGCTTTGAGTCTACATAATGGTCACATGTGATAGATAGATAGATAAATGCATATATTTCTGAGGTTCTCTACTAAAAACAAGAGGACAATGTATCACTGACTTGTAGCATGAGAAGCCAAGCTTTCCTTTTGGCCGACAAAGAACGTGAAGTTGACCTTGTCCCTCAGAGCTGCGTGCTCACCGAGAGCATGTAAAAGCAAGAGAGCGCGTAGGGAGAAAGAAAAACTCACCTTACACATTTACAGGCCTGCCCAGATCAATCTTGATGACTTTAGAATTTATATCTTTGCAGGCTGAGAGGGTACTAAACTTTCGTGGCAGCAGCACTGATTTCCCAGGGCAGCTAATCCAAAGGCTTTATGGACATTTATTTTTTCACTTTGTCATTCTCCCAGGATATTAGGAAACACCGCTGTCTGGGACAGTGGTTCTCAACTACCGGTCTGTTTAGTTACTTTAGAATCCCACAGGGTGCTCTGTGAAACGCAGCTCCTGGCCCCACTCCAGATTTAAAGGACACCATCTCCAAGGTGGGGAGTGGGAGTTGGTATCCTTACAAAGCTACCAGATCACAGTCTCCAAGGGTTAAATTAAATCCAAAACATCCCTATGATGGCCATTTCAGTTCTTTATGAAAAAAGACACAAGGAGGGGTGCCTGGGTGACTCGGTCGGTTAAGCATCCGACTTTGGCTCAGGTCCAAACAGACTCGCGGTTTGTGGGTTCGAGCCCTTCATTGGGCTCTGTGCTCGCAATTGGAGCCTGGAGCCCGGAGCCTGCTTCAGATTCTGGGTCTCCCTCTCTCTCTGCCCCTCCCCCGCTCACGCTCTGTCTCTCTCTGTCTCAAAAATAAATAAACATAAAAAAAAAATGTTTTTTAAGGACACAGTGAGGCAGCAATGGCAAATTAGCAACAACCTTAAAAGTCTACCAGGCAGTAGCTCCTGATAACAGAATACTTACTACACAGCAGCTTATAAGAGGGAGTTGTATGTATTAACGTGACAGCTCACCAAGAGTGAAACGTGTCATCTGGAGAACAAGATACATAGCGGGCTACCGTCTACGTTAACACGAAACACTAAATTTCTCTCAGGACGTTTGTACGTATTTAAATTCACACACAAGGTGTATAGGAAAACCTCACACTGAGCACTGTTTTAATTCTGAGGAAGGAGTAAGAGAGGCCTTGGTAACTGAAGGATACTTTATTTGGAATCTCTGAACTGTTTACAGTGAGAACGGAGGCTTCTATGACCCAAGGCATTAGAGCTAAAATTGCTTAGAGGGGGCCACGTCTTGTCTGCATGTCTGGTCACTGGTACCGAGAATCCATCTGAGGTGTGGGTCGGGATTCTGAGATACACCGTCTGTACCTCCTGTGCACGTCTCTGAGGTGGCTGATATGTTACACCTCATTTTAAGTATACGTCCTGTGTGGAAACGTGTGTGGGTATACACGTATCACACATGGAACGCATACAGAGCGCACATAATGGGCCAACCGGCCTCAGCTGGCTCTCAACTCCTCCTCATGAAAACTGCTTCCTCTGTGAACAGAGCCAGGGCCGCGGGGGTCACACAGTTCTAGGGTTGAGCCTCAGGGAGGTTACTGGCTTGTAGCCATATTACTGGCCACATTATGAAATGTCATAGGAACGGTGTCTTTCGGTGGCCCTCGGTATGGCCACGGTCAGGCGAGTGGGAGCGACGCACTTCCCGCGTCCCGTCTCCTGCCTACGCCCAAGCACAGGCTACCGCGTGGGGTACAGGGCAACTCTGGACCGCCTGTGCTCCCTCTGTGTGGTGTGGGGATAGCTGCACTGACATGCCGACCATCAGAAGTTGGTGTTCTCGGGTAGAATTAGTGATTCACCTTCCCTGACTCCCCAGGATCTGGAAGGAGGGGTGAAGGGGGAAGGAAACACTGGGGGAGAAGAGCCACTGTTCCACTGACAGTGAAACACAGAGGAGGAAGGCACGGATGCTCCTCTAAAGGCCAGTTCTTCAGGTCTGAAATGTTGTTGGTGGGGCTCAAGGGGGGTTGGGGAGAGTTCAAGTACCTTGAAGAGAAAATCTGGAAAGTCTCCTAATTTATTTAGAGGGCTAGTAGCGAACTTGAGTGAAGCCACAGGAGCCAGGGCAAGAAACATTTTAATCTTTCTGGCCAGCTCTGGAATCCGTGAAAATGCTATAAAACCTGGAGAAACACAAAGAAGATTAACAGGAGTTTCCATCTTCTAGGACTTTCTCTGAAAAACCAAAGGCGGTCGCACATCACACCCTCTAGTGGCGATCTGAGAGCCATGCAGGCAACGCCACCACCAGGAGGCAACCACATGGGGGGGCCTCTGAGCTTCTCCAAGCGGAGACTCCAAACGGAGTCTGATTAAACTAGTCAGTCAAGTACTTGTTAAGTGCTTGATTCAGTTTTTAACCTACAGAAATCAGAAGATGCCCCTGTTCCTCTTATCCTAGAAGCCAAGCAAAGGAAGGACTCTCCCTCACAGCCCCACATTAGCACCCAGCCCCAGCGCCCGTCCACCGGCCCCTGGGAGCAGTTTACAGGGGCATTCAGATCAGTCGCCAAGGGCTCCAGAGGAACGTGCACATGCAGAATGTTCTAGCTTTAAAATACCTTTTAGCTTTCTCTCGGGTCACTTCTTGCTTTGAACTTGGCCCCCAAGTGTCACATTAGAAGGCACTGGGGCAAAGGACACAAGCAGGCAAGCCATGGGAGAAGGACCAAAAACGAAGGAAAACACTTCTCTTGACACATGAGAATGGCACACGCATCTGTGTCACATGTTACTTTCTGTGCGTCGTCTCTCAAACTGGCTAAGAGTGTTTGGCAGTGGGCAGAGTGCAGACATTTAACTATAGTACATCCAGACACTTAAGAATCGCTCAGGAGTGATTCTCCTCCTTAGGAATGTATTCTAAGGAGACCGTGTGATTTAAACACACAGCTACTGATGAGAGCACACACAAAAAGGAGGAACTGGGGTGCCTGGGTGGCGCAGTCGGTTAAGCGTCCGACTTCAGCCAGGTCACGATCTCGCGGTCCGTGAGTTCGAGCCCCGCGTCAGGCTCTGGGCTGATGGCTCAGAGCCTGGAGCC